GGAGGCGAAGGCGGCCAAGGCGGGCCCGGACGCCGTGGCCGCGCTGCAGAAGCGCTACGCGGCGGCCAAGGGCGGCGCGGGCAAGGCCCGCGGCGGAAAGGCCCTGGACGACGTCGCGTCCACCGTCACCCGCAGCTCGCGCGGCTCGGTGCGCGCCGAGCTGGGCGACGCGGCCGTCACAGACACCTCCACCACGGCCACTGGCATCCTCATGTCCGTGTACGGCGCACGCGACATCAAGATCGGCGCCTTCTCGCTCAACTTCCACAACAAGGTCCTCATCGAGGACACCATGATCGAGCTCACCGTCGGTAGGAGGTACGGCCTCATCGGCGCTAACGGATGCGGGAAGAGTACCTTCTTGAGGGTCCTCGCCGAGAGGCAGGTCCCCATCCCCGAGTATATCGACATTCATTTGCTCTCGGAGGAGGCTCAGCCGAGCGAGGAGTCGGCGCTGGATTATGTCATCAACTCGGCGAAGAAGGAGGTCGCAAGGCTCGAGGCTCGCTCGGATGACATCTTGACAGAGGACGGCCCCGAGAGCGAACTCTTGCAGGATATTTATGACCGCCTGGATGAGCTCGACCCCTCCACCTTTGAGAGCCGTGCTAGTACCATTCTTTGCGGCTTGGGCTTCGACTCGGTCACCATTAAGAAGAAGACAAAGGATATGAGCGGAGGCTGGAGAATGAGGGTCGCCCTTGCCAAGGCCTTGTTCATCCAGCCCACCATGCTCCTGCTTGACGAGCCTACAAACCATCTCGACCTTTCAGCTTGCGTCTGGCTCGAGGAGTATCTCTCCCGCTACAACAAAATTCTCATCGTCGTCTCGCATTCCCAGGACTTTCTCGACGGCGTTTGCACTGACACCATGGTCATGCAGCAGCAATCCCTCAAGTACTGGGGTGGAAATTACAGTACCTACGTCCGCACGAGGGAAGAACAGGATACCAACCAGCTCAAGCTGTACAAGAAACAGCAGGAAGAAATCAGACACATCAAACAATTTATCGCCTCATGCGGTACATACGCCAACTTGGTTCGCCAAGCAAAGTCAAGGCAAAAACAGCTCGATAAGATGGTTGAAGCTGGCCTTTTGGAACCACCATATGAAGAACCCTGTTTCAAGTTTACTTTCCTGGGTTGTGGAACACTTGCACCTCCATTGATAAGTTTCTCAGATGTTGCCTTTTCTTATTCTGGCAAGAAGCAGGATTACCTTTATTCTGATCTTAGCTTTGGCGTTGACAGCGAATCCAGAATCTCTCTAGTGGGGCCCAATGGAGCTGGAAAGAGTACATTGCTCAACCTTATGGTCCATAAGCTTTCTCCGACCGAGGGAAGTGTCTCCCACAAGTCGGGTTTGCGAGTCGGCCGCTATCATCAGCATTCTGCCGACCAGCTCGACTTTAACCTCTCTCCCGTCGAGTACATTCGCCAGCGGTATCCAAAGTTGCACGAAACATTGCAAGGCTATCGGGCTGAGGTAGGTCGATTTGGAATTACGGGCGAAGCCCAATTGTCACCGATTGGCCATTTGAGCGATGGTCTCAAGTCACGCTTGGTCTTTGCTGAGATTGCAATTCGCAAGCCACACATCTTGCTTTTGGACGAGCCGACCAACGCACTCGATTGCACTGGCATTGATGCCCTTGCCGAGGCCATCAACTCTTTTGAGGGCGGTGTAGTATTGGTGTCTCATGACTTTAGATTACTTAGCCAGGTGGCGAGAGAAATTTGGGTCGTAGAGGAAGGGGTCAAGGTCTGGCGTGGCGACATCTTGTCGTACAAGGAGAGTCTCAAGAAGGGTATGAAGTTCTAAGTTTGTTATCTTTGCGTGTTCAGTAGGTGTACATGGGAGGATGTGAAATGGTAGTAATAGCCGTTGTATTCTGTTATGTCTGATTTTTTGGTAGGTGGTATCACGCCGCACTCACTTAAATGAGAAGCATTTCATCAAAAACGTTTAGCGAAGGACTAGTGCAAAGTGTTAGTACTGCGTGCACGCTCGTTGAGTATTGACTTTGTCTGCCTCAAACTGTAGGCCTCGCTCGTCGGAGTCGCGTTCGACACTGACGCATACTTTCACGTATTAGCATCTGAAACATCATCGGCAAATATAACACAACCACGACCATAAATGACCATGGAAGGCGACAAAAAATTGGCCTGTCCGGAACTTCACGCTGTTAAATATGCCCATGGATGTATGTTTTGCTACCAACAGGTCCAGGGCAAGCACGCAGAAGGCCTGTACTTGAGGTGAGGCAGATACCGTACATCATAATGGAGAAAAATTATATCCTTTGTATTGCCGTCGAAATATTGTATCCCTGTCAATGGGTACACCGCGTATCGAGCTGCGACTTTTTCTCCAATCGCTCACACAGCCGTCTCATCTTGTGGCAGGCTGCGGTCACAATCGTGTTGTTGAGAGCGCACGCGGACCGTCCAGTTCACCACAACCACAGTGTCAATTCTCGTTAACAGAGAGTTAAAAGACAACGAATAGTATCAACTCGAGTCAACGCTCAATCACTCTGACAAAGGACTGTTACATCATGTCGTGCCATGGAACTGACCCGAAAGGACTTCACGTCCTGTGGTCGACACCTGTAACCTCTGGTCTCGCTCGCTCTTCGCTCAGAACATTGTACTCAAAGGTTGTTTCGGTTGCATTCCATGGGGCAAACCGAGTGAAGTTGTCAGCTAGCCCTAAGACCTTCCTCACTCTGGCAATCCCCTGTTGTGAGCGGCAGTAAAATTTCACATAGACAAAGACACGTTTGAAATGCAAGGGTCACTTGAATCATCCAAAAATCCAACAGGAGTACGTTCTTTACATCATAGCTTCTGATTTTGTGTGCATGAGTGGGTCGCCATCAGGCATAAACTGGTTTGCAGGCCAATCCTCGTTGACAGCAGACTTCGCGTGGCACACACCGAACGGCATTTGCAACGTCGGTACATACGCGAGCGGCACTTTACACACTTAAGCAGAAATGGGGAGCATGAAATCGTCTCAAAAGCACAGGTGCGATCGCGAAAGCATCTCGCCCTGTGAACTTGCTCGTCAAACGTTGAGGTCTGATACAAAGAATCGCACATGCGAGAGTTTCTCTCAAAGCACTCTTCGACAAAGTCGTGAGGGTGCGAATCATAACTTTTCAGTTGATGCTCAGCCTCGACGACTCCTGCCTCTACCTGCGCGGGCATCTCTGGCAGCGTTCTTTTCTGCTTTCTTGCCCAACTCCTTCGCAGCTTGGAGGATGCGATCAAATTCTTTGAGACCTTTTCGCTGGTCTTCAATGAGCTTGTGAAAGTTTTCAAATTCATTGTCGCTGAGATTGGCGTACGCACGAATTCTCGCCTCACCACCACCTAAGAGCTCGGACAAATCAAGTTGCAAAGCATCCGCAGCAGCAGAAACGGGACTAGAGCCGGACTTCCCTCGCCTCTTCCTGGACGCTTCGAGGGGGATTTCGTCGGCAGCACGCCTTGCTGCTTCGCTGACGTTTTCCAGTTCAGTGCGAAGTGCTGCTAGCTGATCACTAAGGGGTTTAAACACAGCTTTTGCACTGGCAAGAGCTGCCTCGACGGCAATGGCCGTGACAGCCTTTGTAGATAATTTCTCAACGGATTCTTCTTCTTTCCGACCACCACTACGTGTGACTCTTTCCACTATTGGGGATGGTCGCACTCCATTAGCAACGTCCCCACTAGCCACGATTTTCCTTCGTTTATCTGGAGATTCATTCCAGGTAACGACGGGCGTGTGGGGGGCGGAGCGTTTCTGCGCTGAAGCCGGCGGGCGGCCGCGACGAACAGCACGGACAGGAGAAGCCTTGGAGGGTGTCTCTTGATCTTGCGAGGCACGCTGCCTTGTGACTCTAGCTGGGGGAACAGATTTGGCGCCCGGCGAGGGCGGGGCCGGAGCGGCGGAAGGCGTGGGGCCTGGGTCCGCGTCAGGATTAACGGGGCGAGCAGGTAGGGATGGCGGCCCTCCTGTAGACTTGCGGAAGGCGCGGCCAGACTTGCGGCGCTGTGGTTGCGGCGAAGAAGGTGTTTTTTGTGAAGTGGGTTCTGCTGGGGCGCCGGTGGCAGTGCTTGGAGTGTGAGTGGGGGTTGAGGCTTGGAGCGGAGCGCGTGTGTCATCGATGTCTTCCATCGGACTGGGATCATCTGTTTTTGGGTCCGGAGGTTGGGGCATGGATGATGAGGGGGGCGCGGTGGTGTCAGGGGTCGGACCAGAAGCAGATGGCGGCTGCGGGGCAGTGTGGCGCCAGATGTTGTTGACACGGTCAACGGGCCAAGTGGTTCCGTCATCGAGGAAGACGTTGAATGCGTTGGGTGGTTCGAGGGACTTGACAACGCCATTATAGTACTGGTCGTAACCGGAGAACCACAGCTCGACGAGGTCGCCAACAGCGGGGAGACCGAGCTTGGCCATTGCAAGGAAACGGTATCGCAGGGACGAGGAGAGGAAGAGATGGGATGCAGATAGCAATGGCGTCGGAGGACGAGGCCGTAGAGGCGGGTGAGAATAGAGTCGGGCGAAGGAAAGAGGGGTGGGTGGTGGGGCGGGGCGCGAGGAAGAGGCGGGGAGGAGGCGGGGTTGATCCGCCGCGCGGGCCAGATAAAAGCGACTTGCAGGGATGTGGGAGGGTAGGAGGGTGAGGGCGGGTGAGGGCGGGCTCACGTTTCATGCGCGATTTGAAAGTGACCGATCTTGCGCCAAATCACCGCTCCTTCTGCAGCCTGATGCTGGCACCTGTGCTATTATTATCTCTTTTTTACTTTTTTTGGCGCACAAGATTCACACCCGCTGAGAAACGCCGGAGCGCCACCTGCCGTATCTGCCGGAATTTGCGCACATTTCTTCAGATGGCAGTGCGAATGACACACCGTCCTCTTGTTCAAAAACAGGACAGGTCAGCAGGACCGCGTGGCCACGTGTACAATAGTGACACACTAAATTTAGTCAAAGATTTGGTCGACAAGCGCCAACCTCCATAAACCACACTCACACCACTTCGGTTGTGTCATTATTTAGCGGTGAGACTAATTACGGTACAGAGAGGACTCGCGCAATAATGCCGAATTGAGTAATTCCACAAGTGTGAGTTAGGGTCATGCAGGGGATTCTCGGTGAACATAGATTATCATACCTTGAATTACTGTTAGACAGCTGTCCAAGACAGGGATCAGGTCGACGCAGCCGACGATGTCCAACGTAAACGGATCAACATTTCCGACATACCGCGCACGCGCAGATCCTTACCGACTTGTTACAGGTACTGTCGAGCTGTATTGACGTAGACCTTTATGATGCCCCATCCGATGTCGAGATTCTGTGTGCATTGATCCAATTTGCAATTCATCTACGTTGAATGATGAGGGCTACAGTAGAGAAAAAGGAGATGATGAAAGGTCGAGGATTTAGAGCTGTCTGTCTTGCTCAATTGACAACCAACAGTCAATTGAGCAAGAGAGAACGGCAGGAAATATCTTAAGAGCGAACTTCGAGCTACAGCATGAAATAGAAAGGGTAGGACGGAATAAACATCAACTTATTGGCACACTGCAACAACTCGCAGCCCTCACCTGCGTGGGATCTGCTGTTCCGCCTCGCCCGACTCGCGCTCTCGAGGGCAGCGCAAGCTCCGCGCAAGCTTGCTGCCTGAGTCAAAGACACAAGCCCCCGTCACTCGCTGCGGGTCCACTCTAGTACCACCCAATCGGACGGTTTATCCGACATTCCGGAATAAAGGGTACGCGATCCTTTCCCTTACGGGCATTTTTCCAACAGAAATTCCCCGAGAATAAGAGAAGATACCAACACGTACACTCACCAAGATAAGTACTCCGAACACTGCCCCTTGGGGCAATTTGAGACTTTCGACTCCGAAACAAGAGGGATTACAAAACCTCTTTGTTGGCTATGCGACAGAAGTCCCATTGCTGAAGGAAGACGCTCTCCTTGCCGCCATTCGTGAAGATGTTTTAGTCATGGAGTTCGTGCATCCGGACATAGTCTGCAACTACGGGGTCTACAAAACAATCCGCAAATTTCTCAATGATCGACTTATTGATACCCCCGAGAACTTCCAGTCCGGTGTTTTCATTGCACGTCGTGTCATATGTGCCATCTGGAGTGGTGATGGGTTCCAAGAGAACCGCCGTAAGGCGCTCGGCGTATTTGACGCTGTCAAACGCGGGGAATGGCATCCAGCCTCCCCATCATCCGGGTCCAACCACCCGCTTTCACCATTTCCTCTTTCAATGCCCGGAACCCCACGCGGAGCGAGTCCCTCTCCGGGCGTCCCAGCCACTATCAACCCTGCATCAGGATATTCAACTCGCAATACTCCTACCGCTATCCTCAGTAATGCGTATCGCTATGTGAAACAGAAGTTCACTGGAGATGGAGAGCAAGACTGGTCGACCAAGACTTGCCTGCCACAACCTCCTGTGCATAGACAACAATATTCGTGCAGTTGACAAAGTTAGACACATGCATCATCTTCTGGAGGATGGCGCTCTACAATTTTATATTAATGAGATTGAAGGAAAATATGAAAACTGGGGTGCCGTAGTACAACTTTTTAACAATCGTTACTCTTCCGCTGCACGCAAGGAGCGCATGTCAAACCGTCTGCAGGCATTGTGTATCGCTACCTTTGAGAAGGAGGGGTGCACTGAAACAGAAGCCTTACGCAAAGTTGTTCAGGAGATCGACCGCCTCGCTCCCATGTCACACACTGAGTGTCAAACAGACCGTGCAAAACGCCTGTTCCTTCAAACAGCAGTCAAAGGACGCAATTGGGCCTTCATTGTGCTTTCGAACTCATACAGCCCGTCCCTCAAGTACAAAGAACTTGTCGACCAACTAGAAAACGCCCAGCAGCAGTCTGTTGTTCATGCCATTTCTAGAGAAAATATCACTCCATCCGGATTCCGTCAATCTCGCTGGAGGGCACCTGTCAACACAAACTACGCAGGACAAGGACGATATGCGCGCCAACCTACGAGCAGTCGCAGTATTGTGCCGCGTTCCAATGTGCACACACGCACTCCGCCACCTGCAACATTCGGTGGCACCGCGTCGCCGGGGACATTTAATGCTCCGTACAGTAACCCCGCCGTCGGAACGTGCCACAATTGCGGCCTGCCGGATTGTCGCTGGTTCCGCTGTAAGCAACCCCTAGATATGGAACGCGTTATGGAAAATCGCAGGAAGGCTCGATCTCACAAGAATTCCACCGGAAGTGCCACAGTTAATACCGCTGAGATTGTACATGAGCTCTCATCTGAACTCAGTGAAGCTCTTTTGCTATCCCATGCCACCCAGTATGGCAGCGACAACGATGAAGACCCTGAGTCTAACGTCGCAAAAACTCAATCAAAATTGCATGACGATCTCAAGGAGGCATCTTTCCAGCACACGCAAAGCAGAGTTTCGTTCGACGCTGATGCCACTGTGTAAGGCGAAGATTGTGAGTCGGATTTTTAATGAGGGGCTTGTATTGCCGCCAAGTCCCTACACCTAGGCACAAGGTACCACCAGACAAATCGGATCATAACCTCCGCCGTCCAATACCCGCTCGACTGTTCGTTCGCCTCCGTCGATACGCAGGCGTCACACATTGCCCGCACTATTCGGCCCGCATCCTCAAGCGTGCTATGTCGGTTGAATCGCGCTCGTTATCTGTTTATGGCTCCAGTCGGTTCCGCGGAGCCTGTTTAGACACTGGGCTGAAAAGAGTGTTATTGGTTATGCGCAGGCGAAGGCTTACTGCAAAACGTCTGGCACACCAATGCATCTCCAGCCGTCACCGTTTTCCTACAAGTTTGGTGATGGTATCAGAAGCAGCCTCGGAACCATGGAGATACCGTTACCATTCGCCTCTGGATATTTCGTACCTCTCTCCGTTGATGTGGTCTCAGCTGATATCCCATTGCTCATCGGCCTCGACACTCTAGATAGCCACAAGCTTTTGGCTGACAACGTCAAAAATAATCTGGTATGCACAACCACTGGCTGGTCAATGCCAATCACACGCGATCATGGCCACCTCTTCGTGAAATGGCACACACCAGAGGCACTGTTCACCACCCCCGAACTGAGACGTCTGCATCTACATTTCTTTCATCCTCAGGCGCAGCGCCTGTACCGAATGTTGCGCAGAGCCCGACGAGAGGGGGTCAATGCCGAAACCATGCGGGTGCTAGAGGAGATCGCGTCGGCCTGTCGTGGCTGTAAGCAGCACTCATCGAGACCATATCGATTTCGAGTCTCTATGCCGCCGGACACGATTGTGTTCATCGAGGAGGTTGCCTTAGACCTGTTTTGGATTGAAGGGAATCCAATTCTCCACGTTGTTGACACCCACACAAATTTTCAGAATGTTTCCCTTCTCAAGGGACAGTCTGCCCGCCATGTGTGGGACGCCTTTGTCGAAGCACGGTCTTCTGTTTACGTGGGGTATCCTAACCGCATGCGCGCCGATCAGGGGTCCGTTTTTACTTCAAAATTTTAGGAGGATGTTACCCTGATGCATGGTATTGAGCTCCGACTGTCAGAGGTAGAATCGCACAACTCGCTTGGTGTGGGCGAACGAGATCACGCTCCTATCAGACGCATCTTTCGCGTACTGCGAACACAGTATCCCCAACTGGATCCCGAGGTTGCTTTGCGGCTGGCAGTGAAAGGTGCCAACGACACCCTCGGACCGGATGGACACATCCCCTCGAAACTAGTGTTTGGTGTCGAACCCGCCTTTCCTGTATTAAATTCAGCTCTCCCTGCACAGAAAGAGCGAATGCAGTCCCTGCAGGCAGCTCGAGAGGAAATGGCCACAATTGCAGCTGAGCTCCGCATCACACGTGCACTCAAGGCTGAACTCCCACCCGCGACAAAGTACAATATCGAGCCTGGCGACGATGTGTTAGTTTACCGTGAAAACGAGCGCGAATGGCAAGGTCCATATACCGTCGAAAAGATCATCGAAAAGCAAGTTTTTGTAGACCGGAAGGGTACGGAGAAACAGTTCAATATTGTCCAAGTTGTTCCCGCACCACAATGACATGGAGATAAGGCGCTGCACAGACTCCTTGACGGGATGGCCCAGTTCCGTTCTGATCTACGTCCAGGTGTTTTTGTCACTG